TCCACGCCCCTGATGACGCCGTCCGCAATCGTCGGGTCCGACCTTCCGCCCATATCCTCGAAGATCTTGGCGGCCGTCCGATAGTGGCAACCTTGGAAATCTGTCTTGGACCACGTCGTCTTCTGGGATAGTATCGCCTCCCGTTCTTCGGCCTTGTTCTTCAAGAAGTCCAAACGAAACTGCTTCGCTTCATCCCTGCTCAGCGCCCTGTACTTGTCCCCCGCCTCCGTGCCCTTCTTGTGCAGCTCGCGAAAGTGGTTCGCCATCGTACTCTGAATGGGGAACCCGCCATCAGCAATGTACCCGTGGAGCTTGGCGAGCTCGGGGTCATTCGACTGCGTCGCGCCGCTAGCCTCGTCGACGCGCTGCGACCCCATGGCGTTCAGGCGCTGCTCGTGGAGCAGCACGTTCTGGGCTGTAAGCTCGGCCACCCTCGGCGCGACCGACGTGGCGTTCCTGAAGGCGACCTCCTCTGCCGACGGAGTCCCCGACGGTGTGCCCGCAGGGTGCGGGAGCCCCGCGTGCTCGACGACTCCAACTCGGTCAAGGCCAGGAGGCTCGATCTTGATGCCACCACGATCGCCCGATTCCATCTTGAGGGCGGTCACCGTCAGCAGGCTCGACGACTCTGAGGCGACGTCGTCCATCGAGCGCTTGACGCGGAAGAGCCTATTCATGCCTTCCTTGGCCACCGAGCCAGAGCCAAAGGTCTTCCTCAAGTCCGCGCAATCGATCGCATCGGGCGTCTGTGGCGTGTCCGCCGCTGGATTTGTTCCTGGCGGCGATGCAGCCGCATGCGCTCCGAGCGGAGACGCAAATGGCGTTGCAGGAGAACTAGCAGGGGAGGCAGCTGGCTTTCTCATCGCGCGCTTAGCGGTGCTCCCCCTCGGTGCCATGTCGGGGTGGTTTGAAGAGATTGCCGAAAGCCTCGTTTGAACCACAATGGACTACGGATGATGCTGGCATGCCCACCCCCCAATCGAGAAATCTCACGCGGGGGAAGGGAGTTCAAAGTCGCGCCCTCAAGGATGGCGAGGAGGGCGGGGGAGTGAGGATTGGAGGTAGCTGCAGCAGCTGGGGGGTCGAAGGTCGGTCCTCCGAGTTCCAGGCACCTGAAGACCTGGGGTCGAGGCTCGAGGGGGGCCCAGAATCGAGGTGTGAGGATCGAGGAGGATCGAGGCTCGAGAGCAGGATGATCGAAGACCGATGAATATCGAAGAGGATCGAGAGCCGAAAACTTGAGGAACGTCACCTGGCGTCCTCCCTGGCACGCATCGCGAGACATGTCACCTGAGGCCCGTGGTTGCAGGCAACGGCGGGTCCCGCGGGGGCCCACCGCATCATTTGACGCGTCGCCGTTTCGGATGATGATGATGATGATGATGATGATGATGATGATGATGATGATGATGATGATGCTGATGATGATGATGATGATGATGATGATGATGATGATGATGATGCTGATGATGATGATGATGATGATGATGATGATGGTGATGATGATGATGATGATGATGGTGGTGGTGGTGGTGGTGGTGGTGGTGGTGGTGATGATGATGATGATGATGAGTGTGATGATGATGCTTGTGATGATGATTGTGATGTTGAGTGTGATGATTGTGATGATGATTGTGATGATTATCATTATGTCGAGGATGTTTGTGATGATGATTGTGGTGATGACGATGATGATGATGATGTTTTCTTGGCTCGACCACGGTTGCACTCAACGTGAGGTTTCGGCATCTGTGCGAGCAAACGTATGTAGATCTACGAGCTCCTGAACAAATCAAGTGCATCCATCTCTGGAGGCGCTGAACAGCGCTGAGCTTTTCCATCGCCAACGGCATCATTGTCGCTGTCCGCTCCCGTCCTGTCGCCACCATCCTTGCTCTTCTTGTCACGAGATCCACTCTCCGCCGCAGCAGGGCGCTTGCGAGCCGCCGAGCCCTTGACGGGCCCACTGGCGTCGCCCTCCTTCTCGGTCGGCGCGTCCGTCGCCGCGGCCGCAGCAGGCTTGCGTAGAGCTGCCCTGGCCCGACGACCCGAACTTTTCAAGCCAAGGTCCGTCAGCAGTTTGTCGCGATGAATCTTGAGGTCGTCCTTGTTGATCTTGTTTGCAGCGAAGTCTTTGGCGATGGGAAGCATGAACTCGACTGCGCCCTTGTAGGCGGGGTGGGTGGCACTCACTTGCTCGTGCTCGTTCTCGATCGCACCCCAGATGTTCATATTGACTGCGAGGACCTGGCGACCCTGCTCGTACAGCGAGAGCAGCAGAGTGCGATCAACCCTCTGGGCCAGACTGATCCGATGCTTTGTTTTCACGTGGGACGCTTCCCAAATTGTCGATGTTCTTGTTGTGTTCGTCTGTCGATGCCGCAACTGTATGACCCAACTGTTAATTCTGCAAACTTCATCTCGCCCCCATCTGGCCACTCCACGGTCACCAAGTCAGTATCATTGCTCGGCACCTTATCTGAATTTATCGCCAAGCTCGCCTCGCCCTTACCTTTGGTACCCTGTTTGCGCCTCCAGCCCAGGCACACGTCCCAATTAAACTCGTAAACGAAGCCGTTCTTCACGACGTACTCTGCTGGCTTATGAGACAATGACGTTTTTGCTTTGGCCGACGTTGCCTCAATTGGTTCCGAACCCACCCAAGGCATTTGTTGATACCACTTTGGTGGCTGTTTTTTGGAAGCCGCCTGAGATACAACATGGTTTAGATTCATGATCCTATTCTCCATTGTCTCTTTCCAGTCATCCACTTGTTCTGCGGTCATGCTGAAATTCTTTTTCTTACCCAACAAAATACTGAGAGCCGACTTTACTTTGCTTCTTTGGAAACTGAAGTTTGGCTGAATGTCGTGCTCCTTTCTTAAGAACTCCATATTCACTGCCATGTCTTCTGTGACAACAGTCGCTTTGCTGGTTGATTTAGTCTCGCACCCGTACTTCACTAAAGTTCGGCCTTTCTTCTCTGCGATCGGCTCAAGAACAGATTTGAAATAGTCATTCGGAGTTCCTTGATACGTATCCCTGTTCTCTGTTGCAATATTTTGCTTTTTCTTCCCAGGCATTCAATTTTGGATACCGAAGTCTGATGTGCAGTGCGGTGCTCGCAGTTTGAGCCAAAATGGCCGTCTACAGTTGTGAATGTTTGATTGGGCGTCGTCTTCCTCGCCTTCCTCCTCGCCCCCTGCTTCCCGCTTCGTCCTCCTCCCTCCTCCCTCCTCCCTCCTCCCTCCTCCCCTGCCCCCCTCTTCCTTTTTTTGTTGTCTCCTCGCAAAGGGGGTAAAGCGCGCATACCAACAATGAAACTAAACGTCAGCGGACATCTGATTCACAACGCGAGGGGTTCGGGGAGGCATTGACTTATTCAGAACGTGTTCAGCGCTCGGCTGTCCGAAACTGCTAAAACTTAACACTGTTCTAAAGAAGCAAGGACATGATGCTTAATATGTACTGATTAAGCAACATAACGCCTGATGCTTAATTTAAGCATCAAGGGACCACAGGGTACCTTCTGCCCTTGCCGGGGCAGAAGCCCCGCCCGCCCGCTGGCCCCGCGGCCCCCCTGCCCGCGCAGACGCGCGCCTTGTCTTAGCTGTCCTGAGGGGGGGGGGGGCGGCGGCTGGCGGAGCTGGGCTGGGCGGGGCAGAGGGGGGCGGGCGAAGACTCGGCTGGCCTCCTCGCCCAGTGCGGAGACGGCTCAGGAGGTCGACGCAGCTCAGATCCTCGCCGCCGCAGGGCGGGGGCCGCCGTTGCCGCGGCGAGACCCTTTCAGGGAGTGGGCCCCCTGGAGCGGCGAAATCTCGGGCCTGAAGGGCCCCCTTCAGACTGCGCCGATGGCGGAGCTGCCCGCTTTCGCCCTTGCGCTCGAGAAATCGCTCGGCCACCATCGTTAAGCGACTGAAGACATGCCTCTGCTGGACGGGCGGCGGAGGTCGAGCCGATGCCTTCGCCCAGAGGGCCCGAACGAGGGCGCGCGGCAGCGCGCGCGGGCGGGCTGCTCGCAAGCTGCGGCCCTGGCTCTGTAGACGCGCAGTGGACGGCCTCTCACAGCGAGGGCGCCCCTGGCCTTGCCTCAGACCCTGCCCGCCTCGCGCGCGCGCCAGGCAACGCGCGCGCTGATGCATGGGCAGGCGTCGCCGCCCAGCGGCCGCTGGAGGCAGCGCTTGCAGGCCAATTTCCCATCCCCCCCCCACCACCACCCTTCCCCCCCGCGGACCTCCATGGCGCTCGGCCCGCGCGCGCTGACGCGCTAGGCGTTGACCCGTGGGTCGCCGAGCGGCCCTCCCCAGTGAAGGGCCCGCGCCTCACCGAGCTCCACTTGGCGCTGCAGAGCAGAACCCGTTCCTTCGAGCTGCGCGCGAGCAAGTGCAGATGCTCCCGCTGCGACCTCGCAGCCGACAAGCGAGCCGCCCGCTAGGCCTGCCCGGCGCTCTGCCGCGCCAGTCCGCCCGTGCCGACTCCGAGCGAGCATGTGGCCCCGATGTTGGGGACTGCCGTCGCGCGCGGACGCGAGCTGCACGCCGCGCGTAGGCTTCATTGCATGCAGCAGTTGCGTTTGCACTTCTGCCGCGGGTGTGGCAGGACTGCCGCAGCTGACCCATGCCACCTCGCGGCCCCGCGCGCTGGGTTCTCCCGCAAAGGCAAGGATAACCTTGCGAACGTAGACCAGGGCTTTTTTTCCCGCGCCCACGCGGGCCGCGATAGCCTAACTCCATATGGCCAAGCGGCATGGCCGTGGCAGAAACCGTAGCCGCTGCAGTGCCAGCCCCTGCCGCTTGTGCTCCTTAGCCAGACTCAAACTTTTTAGTTCAATCGACGTTCGCACCTTGGCGCGCAGTGCTGATGCTCCTGATGTTCCTCCTCGTCCTCCTCCTCTTCCTCCGCCCTTCTCCGTCTCTCCCTCCCCCTTCTTCTTCATCCACCCTCCCATGCCGCAGCCCTCCTCAAGTTCCCTCCCCTTCGCTGCGGGCCGCTGGGGCCAGGCGAAGCCGAAGCCCAGGGCCAAGCCCAAGGCGCCGGCCAGGGCGCCTGCCCCCGAGCCCGCGGAACCGAGCGCCGAGGAACGCAAGGCCGCCCGGCGCGGCCGCCCGCGGGGGGGCGAAGCGCTCGGCGACGAGCATGGCCCCTTGTGGGTGTTCACGGCGATCCCCGCCTTCAGCTCACTCTCCCAGTCGCTCCTTGGCGCACTCCTTCGTCGGTCCACTCTTGCTTACTCGCTTTCCCCGCCGTCAAGTCCCGGTTGGTTGAATTATGTCACCTATCCCCCTCGCCGTAGCTTCGTTTTTCGTCGCCCCTCCCCGCAATCCAAACCAGGATGGTTATGGCTGCCGGTTGCGTGACCCTAAGCAGTCTCTGGGAGTTCGGCCGGCCGTACACGCGCGCTCCATGGCGTGTGCCCGATGTTCTACGCCCCGTCGCCGCTCGCGGGGCCGCGACTTCAGAAACGGTGTGCACGGCGACCTTTTCAGCTCGCAACCCTTCTGGTGCGCACGGCGGTCCATTCATCATGCACAGCAGCATCATCACCATCGCTACCGTCGTCATATGCAGCATCATCACTGTCACCATCGCCATCATCGCCATCAGCATCGTCATCACCCCCATCATCACCGAAATCATCACCATCACCATGACCATCACCATCCTCATCGGCATTATCATCATCCTCATCCTCATCAGCATCATCAGCATCATCATCATCACCATCACCATCGTCATCAGCATCGTCATCATCACCAGCATCATCGTCATCTTCATCTTCATCGCCATTTTCATCACCATAAGTTCCATCATCATCATCATCATCATCATCACCACCATCATCATCATCATCATCATCATCAGCATCATCATCATCATCATCATCATCATCATCATCATCATCATCATCATCATCATCATCATCATCGCCATCGTCATGGTCATCGTCACCACCATCATTAACACCAGCAGCCGCATTATCATCGGCAGCATGTGGTGTGCACGTCAATTTTTTCAGCTCGCCTTCCACGGGGGACTGACGAGGAGACCCCAGGGAACCCCGTGAAGGGCCAAGGAGGGCGGCCCCGAGGAGCGCGGCCTCCCGGGTGGGGTCGGAACGGGTGGGGTCCGAAGATTGTGCCGCGTCGCCGATTCATCGGCGATATCTGAACAAAAATGTTGTTCAGACTCTGGGCCGCCGCCAGACTCTGGGGGTTCCTCCCTCCTCCTCTTCCTCCTCTGGACCTCTGGATGGTGGCGGTTCTTGTGCATAAAATTGATGCCATCGTCCTCCTCCTCCTCCTCCTCCTCCTCCTCCTCGTCCGCCTCCTCCTCCTCCTCCTCCTCCTCCTCCCTCCCCTCAGCCTCTGCCTCCTCCTCCTCCTCCTCCTCCTCCTCCTCCTCCTCCTCCTCCTCCTCCTCCTCCTGCAGCTCCTCCTGCCTCCCGTCGTCCTCTTCCTCCTCCTCTTCCTCCTCCTGGGCCCCGAGAAGCCCCCGAGCGAGCTGCCAGAGAGCCCCGAGACGGCTTCAGGAGTGGCCCAAGATGGCCCCAAGAGAAGCCCAGGAGTTATGCACCAGCGGGCCCCCAGTTGGTACAGAACTCCTGGGTCCCCTCTTGGGGCCAACTTGGGCCCCTCGTGGAGCCGTCTTGGAGGCCTCTGGGGGCCCAGAGGGCCCTCGAGGGCCCTGAGTCTGAGAAGCACCCGAGAGGGCCCCCAGAGGGCCCCAATACGGCTCCAGGAGGGGCCCAAGATGGCCCCAAGAGAAGCTCAGGAATTATGTACCAGCGGGCCCTCAGTTGGTACATAACTACTGGGCCCCTCTTGGGGCCATCTTGGGCCCCTCGTGGAGCCGTCTTGGAGCCCTCTGGGGGCCCAGAGGGCCCTCGAGGGCACTGAGAAGCACCCCAGAGGGCCCCAAGACGGCTGCAGGAGAGGCCCTAAATGGCCCCAAGAGAAGCCCAGGTAGTGTGTACCAGCGGGCTCTCGGTTGGTACATAATTACTGGGCCCCTCTTGGAGCCCTCTCGGGGCCTCCTTGGGCTCCGCCGGAGGGCCTTGGGAAAAGCCCAGGTTGGCCCCAAGACAGCTCCAAGGGGGCCCCAATACTGTCCCAATAAAGCCCCGAGATCGGTCACCCAGGCGATTCCAAGAGGGCCCAGAGACGGCCCAAAGACGGCTCCAAGAGGTCGTCGTCACTTCGTCGTCCTTCGTCCTTCGTCCTTCGTCGTCGTCGTCGAATTCCATTCGTTTTTTCCGTGCGGCCCCCCTGAACAGGCACAAAAACTATGGTTTTTGCACATGGCGACCGAAAGCGCTTGTCGCGCGCATTCACCGCCAACGCGCCGAGACAAAGGCTCCAACGCAAAAATGTTCAAATTCCTATGGGTTTGACTCATCAGGGGGGCCCCACGGGGAAAACACATGGGAAAGTTGCCGTCGTCGTCGTCGTCGTCGTCGTCGTCGCCGTCGTCGTCGTCGTCGTCGTCGTCGTCGTCGTCGTG